AAAGTGATTTGGAGCGACCAGAAAACAATAAAAGAAAAAGAAAAAAAAAGTGAGGCAGCAAGGATGAAGTCGCCAACATACTGACCCAATTCAACTGTGCATATCATGATCGCAAATAAAAAGGCACTCGGTATATCGTACTGGTATTCGCCCAGTTTCATTTCTATAATACTAAATGGAATGTGTGGCCTTTTTACGAGTTCAGAGAAGAAAAAAACACGAGATATGTGCAAGGGGAAGAGAAAATAGAGATAGAAATTGTTTGTATCCATGTTCGTAGGCTTTAACATAATCGCTATTGATTTTCTAGATGAATGCATTCGAATTCAATCGTTGATGTTGAGTGGCACTTGACACCCGAAGCCATTCTTCAAAATATCCATTTACGTGTTCAATCGGACAACTAAAATCGATTGTACTCGATGGTTTGTGTTTTGATTTCATAAATTCTTCTACAATGCGAAATAAATGTTGACATGATGGTTTTTTTTTGTTTTGTCTCACATGCGATTACCACTATATTTCTATTACATACCTGCAATTTTTCTTTCACGCATTTTGCGCCAAAGAGCTTCCGCTTTTCGCATCGGCCAATTTTCGATTTTCGTTGAGAAGCTGCGAAAGAAGCGATACTCCTTCAACGTAACCGACATGCGACGTGCCATTTTTGTTTCGTTTAATTTAACAACAATAACCAAAACAACAAAACTTCTTCAATTGTTTTCAATTTTACGCTTTTGATTCGATTTTCAAACTGGTTTTCTGCAAGATTTAAAAATGTTCATGTTTCCGATCCGAGCGGCGAAAAGAAAAGTGTTTATTATAACTTTGTAAACGCTCTCTTTGCTGTAATTTCTAACGTTAAAATTTCGTTCAATTCGATGATCGTGCGCGATATGAAAAACACGCAAATCGAAAACTTTTTCGTCGAGACCAAATCGAAAACAACGCTCATATTTTGAAAACATTTAAACGTTATATTTATGATGACGTTAGTGAGAGAAAGACCTGTTTCTCGTTATTGAGAGGATTTTCATTTTTTTTAATACATTTTCTCGACAAATTAAATTCCTGCCATTTTTTTGCTCTCTCTCTATTTTTCTTCGGTTATTATTTTGATTGTATTTAGACCGAAGCCATTTTTTTTGTTGATAACGTAGTACGCATTCGCAATCGACTATAAGTGAAATTATATGAAAATCGAACATTTTTGGAATGTGACTCGCGCACACTGTTTATTATGAAGTAATTTAAATCGAATGCTCATTGCTGTTGAAACATTCACAACATTAAAATTACATTTTCTCAGGGAATTGCCGCATTTATTTTTATTCTGTGTTGCAGCGAGAAAAGAAACGTTTTTATAGGATTTGATGAAAACTGACGATTAATACTCATATGATGCGGGAAATTCAAAATTCGTATTGTTTTATTCTTCGGAAATTTTGTAAGCAAATAGCAAGATAAATGAATCAACGAGATCATAATTGCAAATGCGAGAGAGTGAATGTTTGCTGCTTTTCTCTCATCTCTATCATCAAAAGTGATTTGTTTGCGTATCAAATATGAATTCCATCATATGGTTTATTTTTGTTTATAATATCATTAGATGAGAGTGGCGCGAGTGGCGAGTGTGATGTTGTCGCACTATGATCAACGTTGACCGATCAAACGGAAAGACGGTGTGGCGCGTCTCATAACAAGATAAACACACACATACACGCGGTGAAAAGGAATTTCCCATAACAATCGACATCATAAAATGTAAGCTCATTAGTATCGCGGGTCATTTTCGAAAGGTCTCGTTGTGTTTGATTGAAAACTGTTGCTTGTTTATCACATGAATCAAATGAACGGGAAAGAACAGCAAAGCCACCAATTTACAAAATAACAAACAACAAAAAAAAACACGACAAAAACGTTACCAGTGTTTTTTGCATGATTCAACGTCTTGTGATTTTCGCAAAAGATCATAAAATGATCGTTTAATTAGTTATTAAGTAACAAAACTCATAACACTTTTTATAACTTTTCTTTCTTTTTTTTCACGAACCCAAAAAAAAACAGACAAACAAAATTTCTCTCGATTTTAAAACGCAAAAATCGCAAAAATAAAATTACGAAATTGACTTAATAAAACCCAAAATGAAAATTTAATAATGGAATCTCCGTTCAAATGGACTATTCCATGCAAACTATACTGAAGGGATGCCTGTGCTATGCCACACAAACACAACTCAACTACTATAATTCTTTTTTTGTATTTTTCAAAATCAAACTATATTCTCGGGCGATGCGTTGTGTGCCACAACAAACCGTTTCATTCGACACCCTGAACGTTACTGAAATTTAAATATTAAATAATTTTTTGTTGTGTGTGATAAAAGCACAATTAAAACACACAATGAATGTTGCCCGATAGGTACGTTGGAACACTCTCATCGTTCGGTAGATAGAGAGTCAATCTTTTGCTTTTCCACAGTAATGCACGGACCGTATGTATTGTGCACGCTGATGATGTCTGTGTATGTCGATTTGGTGGATAGAAAATATTAGCAAACGCTTTGGATGTGTATGTGTTTGGAGTCGTGCAGTAGACGAATATATGTAGAGTATGTATAGTTTGATGAGATAGACAACAAAAATAACGACAATTGAATGAAAAGCATCAAAGTAAACGAGAAAAATGAAACTGATGATAATGCTTGCTGAAACAACGTAGACACGAACACTCTCATTCGGGAGAAAAGCGCTCGCGCAGCAAGCATCCATCATACATATTGCAGTATTATATTTTCACAGAGCAAACGGAATGATTTTGGTTTTGCCTGTCGACGTGTTGTATCCGCATCGCACCACGATAGAGATAGAGGGAGAAAGAGGAACGCAACGAGTCTTTTATTTAATATACATCACATCATCAAAACTGAAAGCAAAATTGCATGAACGAAAGTGACTCGACCACGAAGAGCTTCTAATGCTTTCCTACCCACCACCAGTTTTCCGTTACAGTTTTTTTGTCACATCACAAGGGGGAGAATATTTAAGAAATTGCGAGCATCTCATGTTCGATAATGTTATGCGATGGGTCAAAGCCAATGTAGTTTTTTTGCTGTGGGATTGGAATCGAGACTGAAAACATCAAAATCACTCAAAACACTGGAATTTGTGTACGCTACACGAAAGCACAAACACACATCTTCATTGTTTCGTTATAGCATGGACGTACCTATCGAATAAATCAACACATGACCATAATAAGGTATTCACTTGTGGATCCAATGAAGAAAAAATCACATATAGACAACTATTTACGTCACAGTGTTCACTTTAACATCACTTATTGCTCTATTTCATTCGACCTGTTGAGAAAAGATGTGTGTGTGTATGTGCGGATTCGATGTCAAACTGTTGCATCCTGATATAATGGGTCACAAAGGTATTTTTTATAAGGTTTCCATTGAAAATGCAATGTACACTGGTCTTTGATAGTCATAACAAAATTATTTCGATGATCGAAACTTTTGATGTCACTTATTTGATTCAATGCATATATTTCTTATGTGATAGCTGCACCAATAAAGCTTATATAACTATTAGTTATTCGTAATTCTGGTTAGATGGGTATTACACCATGGTAGTTCGTCATTTTAGTTACTTTGCCTTGAACTTGCTTATTTGAATGGATAAACTCATTGTAAGCGGTATTATTTCCAATGAAACGAAATGGTCATCGTTTTGAAATCGCCTTAACGGAAATATATACCGATTAGTCATGTGGATATTTCTATTTTAAATTCAAATCCACTCTCATGTTTGTATCGTTTTATTCCGAATAAATGCGACTTTAATGAAATTGACATTCAAATTTATATATATATGGACAATTTTTGTTTGAATAGGAATTATTAATGTCAATCGCATCCATATCGTATTTCCATTCAAATCTAAAACGGTGAGTTTGTTTTCAAATGAAATAGAGTAAAGTCAATGGTAACAGTGCAATCAATGCATTTATTATCAAAAAATAAATGTCCGAATTCTGAAAATAGCATGTGATGCGTTGCATGTTGGTCCCACGCGTGTGCGGTATATTAACCGAGGGAGTTGTGCATTTTATTCCTAATTTATAACAATAAACTAAAGTGTATTTAAAAATAGCCGTGACTATTTCTTGCAAGGGTTGAGCACATGTTTCGGTTGAATCATTCATGTGATGCTTTCGCAAATGGGATCCGCATATTGTACGGTCTCATTGCAGATATAGCACGATTAGATTTGTACATATTAAGGGCAATTATATTTATGCTTATGACGTTCAAAGCAAAAGACCAATAGCAATGGATACGGTTATTCAATTACAAATCTAGAACGGTACAATAATAAAATTGAATACGTTAACCGATATTGCGCGTTTTCATGTCGTTTTATGACAATGTCAACGTTTTGTTTTCGATATTTATTTTAAAATGTGTGGAATGTGTGTGTATGTTTACGATTTGAATGTATAATTGCCCACCTGTTCTCGTTCACATAAATAAAATTCCAATTTGTAAAAAAATCCCTTCGGTTGCATATTTCTAATAATAAAAACATGTTATTTTTGTTGATTAGGTGGACAAATTTCTCAGAAAATTAGCACCTCGTCATCATCGTGACGGTGCTAGCCAAAAATGATGATTTGAATAATTGGGTCAAATGTTTCCACACACTTCCTCGGAATACGCACATTCTTTCGGAATTTTGTATTGCAAAAGACCAAACCTGCGTCACTCCTATTCGGAAAACACATCGAAAAAAACTTCAAACGATACCAAAAAATATCAACAATGAATGAGCAATTTTTTTCGAAAAAAAAAAAATCGAAAAAAAATTGTGCCCACAAAATCAGTGGAGTAGAGTCTCGCGATGCCAGATGTGTTGTTTATATATTGTGAGTGCGGTGCGAAATGAAAAATACGCTACACTAAAAATCAAACATATGCGAATAATGAACTTACCAGCCAAATATCGGTCGCTTTGAGAGCGAGAATAGCGAAGATTCTAAAAATAAACAACAAGAAAAATAAACCGTATTTTTAATAACTGCCATTTTTTATGATTATCATTTAATATGTTTTGGATTGGGTGTGTATGTGAGTATCTTGATTTGCATTTTATGCAATGCTTTCAATTTCATGTGATTGTCAGCTATTTCGGGTATTTATTTCATTTGATTCTATTTAAACGTTAAGATTGGCCTACATTTCCTTGACAGACGATACTGAATCAAAGGAATTGTTAAACCACTTCATTAAAGCGATTTCTCTCTCTCTCGGTCATATTAAAATCCGGCACGATTTAACCCAATCTTCGGTAAAAAATGGATCATAACATAAAAATTAATTCATGTTAAGATGAAAGCAATGCAAATCGAGAGAGAAACAAAAACAGACAAATAATGGGTCGTTGAAATACTTACAATCGGATGACCGACGACAAAGTCATCGCGTTTGCGTTCTTTTTTTAGTAGAATTGGTGCTGAATTGGATTTGGTTGTGAGCTCTTGCATCGTTGTGAGATGCCCGTGACCGCTGTGCAACGAGGCGCTGCTCGGCGATGGCAATTCCATCACATTATGGAATGGTTCGTTATGCAAATGAAGTACGAATGGACGTCGCGGCGGGAGTTGTGATCGGCTCGAATTGCTAATTTTGGCACTACCAGCGCTGCTACTGCTGCTGCCGCTACATTCCGATTTAACGGCATGCAATGATTTATCCGAATAATGAATTGGGTAGGATGTGGCATGTAAACGAGTTGTCGCCGATTCCTGTGGCAAACTGCACGCTGACGATGTTCGATTGGTGTGATTTCTCAAAATAGCCACATCCGAATCATAGTCACGTTCGGCGCTGCTACTTTTTGTACATGATGATGCTGTATCGATACTTTTATCGAGCTTTCGATCGTCAGAGAGATAATCGTCTTCAGTAATGTCATACTCATCGGTTGTTCCTTCGCACAAACTTAAAATATCCAAATTATCCATTTCATCGCCACAATCACGGATTTTTTGTAACGGTGACACCGGAGGCAGCGGCAGCGCCACAATCACGTCATCATAATTGGTTTGTGTCATAACGCTCTCTTGTCGCACCCAATTTTTTCGTGCACGTTGTTGCTGATGATGATGTTGTTGGTGGTGGTGGTGGTTGTGTTGCTGGGCCGATTTCAATTGACGCCAATTCTCCTAATCAAGAGAAGAACATTTCAGCATCAAGATATTTTGTTCATTGAACCCGTTCCATCTCATTGATGAAACAAAAATAAGGAGAGAAAAATATACGAACCTGTTCTTTGGGCGGTGTTGCCGTGCCAATACCACTCTCCGCATTGTCATTGTCTAATCCAGATGAATCTAAGAGAAATTCCAATTAAATTTTAATCCAAATCTTAAGAACGGGTTTTATATGGGAAGAAGCGTACAACAGCTATATAATTGAAAATGGTGACATTATAGCAGAATTTACTATGACTTTTTCCCATTTGGCTGCATGGAAATGGGATAAAAAGCCATTGAGACGAGGGATTTTTTATTACATTGTAAATCGTAAGCCCATAAATGCAACCATAAATAGAATGTATTCAACCATTTGACATTTTCATTGATTTCATTGCAATCGAATTGTTCGAAGCATATTTCTAGCAATTTAATTTCTTTCTTCAAATAAAATCCGATGAAAGTATTATTTTTTATTTAAAGTGGATTCGAAGTTGTTGGATTTGTTTTTGTTGTGAATTGAATATAAAAGTTAAGAGTATAAATGGAGAATACATTGAATGTAAACAACAGCAAAAACATCTGTTCTCATTGCAGTTGCATCTGATTACTGTTGTCATCGGCACTGAGTGCTCGTGCTCATCGTTCCGAGCACAAGGGGATGATATAACACAGTTGCTGCTGGTGTAGGTGGTGGTGTTGGTGGTGGTGGTTGTATTTGGCTTCTGCGCATTGCAGACTTTCAATCTTTATAAATCAGAGTTGTCACGTAATTTTCTGAGGCCGCGTAGCGCAATGGCAGCGCGATGGACTTCGATGCTTATATGGGGTTGAAGGAATCCATAGGTTGCTTGTTCGAGTCAAGTCGCGGTCGTTGGGTGATTTTTTTTTTGTTAATAATTTTTTTTTCACAATTTTTTTATCACATTTTTTATTTGTCTTTTCATATTTTTGCCATTTCATTGTGGGAAAAAATTTCTTTGATTAGAACCAGTGCCGGAATCACATATTCATTCAGGATAATATAAAATGCAAATTAGCACCTTTCATGCTTTTCCTGGTTGCAAGAGTTTCCGTTTTTATTTTTGTTGCATTCGATTTTGTTGTTATTTTTGTGTACACACTCTATAAATAGGTGCTCATATGGCAAACGAAATCATAAGTTATTTATTCGCGTGTTGCATAAATTCGGGCGTTTTATTTACATTCATATGTGCTACTGTGCAATGAGCTACTGTATTTATTCGAATAAAATGTTACAAGGTTCTTGCTCATGAAGGAAATGTTTTTTTTTTTCATGTCAAAAGGCTTTTAGTCTTATAATATTTAAACAATTTTTTATTAAACGGAACAAATCAAAGAAAAATTCTGTCAATGTACTAAAAAACCATTTACCTGATTTTCCGGAGCTAATAACTCCGCCAGTTTCTTCGCATGCCGACGACGATGACGATGACTTTGTGTCTTCATCCAGTCCGGTTTCTCCACTTCTTAAAATTGATTCGTCCGATGTCCAAAGGCTATTTGATGAACCTTTTTTATTTGTTCGACCACCGGTGCTCAATTCATTTACGGGGCTGGTTTGTGTGGATATTGTCTTGCACGTTCCGTTTGTGGGAATGTCTTCGAAATCTTCTTCAATTTTCAATACCGGAAAATTCGTAGTCTCTTTCGACGCTGTCAATCCAAAATGCGGTTGTTTGGAATATTTTTCCAGTATATCGACAGCGTATTTACGATTTCCTTTCGCTGAAGAGGTCGATAACGGCAGATCCTTCGGCCTCTCCACTTTGAATGACTGCAGCGGTATATATGTCTGTGAAAAAAGCGAAAATATAAATAGGTATTTTCTATATGAATGAGCAAAGATTAAATCTCATCATATTTTCGTAAGTCTCAGCAACACTGTGCCGGACCATATCAAATCGGAAATTATTTCAAATCAAAATTAAAATGATATGATTGGTTTCAATCAATATGTTTAAATGCGGAAATATTGATGAATCTAAAAATAAGTTTGCCGGCTTTTACACATTGAGTTCAACGACTTTTCTTAAAATGTGGCCAGAAATACAATCTGTTGCCAACTAAATACTGAGAACAAATCATTGAGCAAATAATTACAGATTTGGCAAATATCATGGCAACAAGAAAAATTCGTTTTGTTCGTTCGTTTGAATCAAATTGTGTTGTATTCTTGGAACTTTCCATTTAATTTTTGCCGCAAGGTCGGATAGAATTTCACTATTGCTCATGACAACGGTCGATTTGGGGATGAGAATTCATTTCGAACTTCGGAATGAGTTTGACACTTCATATATCGACTTGGCAACAGTTTTTGCACCATATATTTTTGCTCATCGCATTTTTCTTAAAATCCAAAATGAATGAAACAGAAAAAAGCAAAACACGCTTGAATCAGGAGGAAGCAAATATTTTTTTATCCAATTTATTTAATTTTGTTGATTGAATTTTATTTACAAACAAAACTGTCTCTCTCACGCTTTCTCTCTCTGTCACTCTTTCCTTCGTTTATGCACAGACATCCAGGAAACATAATCGAATAGCAAATACACGGTGCTGTATTTGGTGTGCTGTGCATAAATTAAATATGTTTGTGTGACGAGAGATATTCCATTCATTTAGCGCGCGCTTCATTTTTTTTTCTCCATTCGACAATTTCATGTGCCGTATCATGTGTGTGAAATAATATGCGAGAATGCGAAGAAGATTGCAAGAGCGTTGCAAAAAAAAGATTGTTGTTATGTTGGCACATCTTGTGTGTATTTCATTGCGCTTATCGAAGTAAACACATAGGAAAACTATATGGATGGAATTAAGTTCATATTAACTTACAAGCGCAGGTTTTACATTAATGTCTCTAGACAGGTCTCAGTAAATCATTTATTTATTTCAAATTAAACCGACTTTTTTTATTTATTCATTTTATTCTGCAATGAACAACAATATCCTGCCACACTGTACTGGGTTGCTGTCCATTATATTACGCACGCAGGTCTTTCTTATATATATGTTAACGCGTTCTGAATACACAATTGCAACTCGAGTCAGTTTTTTTTACTTGTTCTCGGTTTCATTGCACCATTTTAGCATTGCACATAAAAATGGATCTCTTTGTCAACCGGATGCACAAAAGTCGAAAAAAAAGAATGCATCGAACGAAAAAAAAGAAGAACATCGAAGAAATATGAAATAATTATTTATAAGTCAGCAGATGATGATGAAGATGAAGAAAATAAGAATGGAAAAAATATGGGTACTGTACACTTGTACAGTTGGTTTGAGCAAATAAAGTCTAATGTACTGATTTGGCGAAACGTATTCATGATCAATTGGTCGGACGGAATCCTTCATCGACAAAATTGGTAAAACGAAAACAAACGGCAGAGATAGAGAGAGAGAGAGAGAGAGAATTCAAGGGAAAAGAAAACTCGTTTTAAATTAAATTATTGATTTCGATCTGTCATAAAGTAAACGCACGAGTATTCGTTTTTTCTTCCCGTACAACATCAACTTTATGAAATAAATTATATTTATGTTTAGATGGAAATACTTGAAGGCATCGAATGATATACTACATGATTGAAACATATTTTTGGAGCCAATCCACTTTTTTTTTCTCCCGCTCCTTTCGCCGTGTATGAGGTTAATGAAAAATCCAATTCGACCGCGATTTCGAACACACGCACACCAGAGAGAAACAAAATCCAGAATTCTTTCGGAGATCGAGTTTATTGAAGCATTTTTTATTTATAGTCCATTTATCAAAAGCAAAATTTCAGAAGCCAATTGAATTTGGTATCCCTCAATAGATGATAAATTACGGTGCGATCGATTAAATGTCACAGTTGATTTGCATTTAAAAGGTTGCGTTTGCATTCCATCCATGGCTCGGACACGATGTCGTATGTTCGATTCGAGCTGACCACCCAACTAAGGAGCATGTCGTTGTTATTGTTATGTTTATGCAAATGAGCCGGTGATGGAAAACAGAAAATGGCTTGTGATATGCAGATTGTTCTCTCTTTCTCATGCGTTTCCCTCGCTTTTTTTCCTTCATATTTTCATCGATCTCGGTGTGTTAATCGTTCCCCGCTCATTTGAATGATTGTAAAGATTAGCAAAGGATTTTGCTGTTCGTTTCGTTGAAAACATAACAATTACAACTTGCGAAACGGTGTTGTAATTCGCCGAAGCAATGACAATTAAACGCATACTCAATATTATACTGTATATAATCGTATATCCAATGTAATTTCAACTCTATTACACTTAGCAGTATGTGCAAAACAGCAATAATGACTTTTAATTTCTTTTCATGGGTTTGGTGCGATTCGCTCAAAATGTATATATGTGATTGTGTATATGTCTCTGTGTACGTCGGTGGTCCTTTCAATAGTACTCTCTGATTACAATCGCCCATTGTTTTGTTCACTCGTAATGCACACAAATGCCTCTATTGAACGGTAACTCAAGCTGTTTTCTGCTTATATTTCATAAATTCATTTGCAATGAGCATTGCGATTTCTGATGCTGTGCCCGGATAGAAGCGATTCACAAGGCGGATTATTATTACTTGGTTCGGTTTTTTTTGGTCATAATCGAATGTTGAATCAAACAATGAATAGAGACGTCTTTCGAGATTATTATTCCAGGTTAAAGAAAATACAACATATCGACTGTCGAATCATCGTTTCTAAAGAACGTAACAAAAATCCTTCAAAATGTTCTTGCACACATTTAAATATCCCATATTTCATAAGTTTAATCCTTTCTGTAGTGAGTTTTTTCTCAAGGTTTCGCCAACAATTTCGCTGTTTTGAATATATATTCGTTTAACCTTAGACAAGACATCGAATCATTGTATTATTTTTTTGTTATTGTAAAACGTTTACATGTTGTTTGTGTTTCCTTGCATTTAACCCAAGCAGATTGAATAATCGCAATCAATTTTATGTTAATTCAACAAAGGATCACGGAATTTTTTCGTTTCTCTCTCTCTCTCTCCATCTTCCTCATTTTCTCGATCTATCTCTTACTCCCGCACCACATTTATGAATTACGAACATACGCAACAAACACCTTGACGAGTTAAACCATCTTTTACCTCCTCTGGTTCGTATTTTTCTTTGTTTCGCATCGCATAGATTTTGAGTAAAGACAAAATGTACAGCATTCACGTTTTGCAAAATGCTGCCACAAAAGAGCGAACGATAAAGGAGTCTCACAATCTTCACGGGCCAGAGAGAAAGAATGAAACAGAGAGTTGGGTGTGTATGTGTCAAACCAATATCTTTATGAAGAAATCAAGAGTATAAATAGATAAAATATGAGCCTATTCAATTTCAATATATGCACTCTCCTCCTTGCGCGCCTTTTGTTCGCATTTATATGCAATGCGTACAAAGAGCAGGAAAAAAAGACTCACCCAACGACTATTACATATCACATAATATCAATTGAATTCTGTTTGGAATACAAACCAATTATTATAAGCACAGAACGGGCGAGAGAGCGGAGAAAGAGAAAGAGAGGAAAGAGATGACATAGGAAGAGACGCTGATAGACGATCAAATGCGCTAAGATAAACATGTGATTCTTTTTATTTTCATTTAATTCAAGAGAGTTCAATTGAACTCCGTGTCATTCCCTTTTTTGCTGTCACACACACACACGCCATCCGCAAGACATTTTTATATAAATGGCATTAATTAATCTTTTCGGATTAATTTTTTTATAATATTTACACGAATCAAATGGATTGTGTTTTAATGACGCATCTGGTTGATGCAATAAATCAATCAGCTCTATTATCTCTTCAGGGTGTAAAGCTACAACAAGTGATGCATGGCTACAAATCTCAACCATCGACTTTTAATTGAATTAATTTTTATTCAATTCTGAAGCGCAATTAAAATTGTGAACTTGTTTGCCCATGCAAATGAAGTCACTTGCTCTCGCAAACGAATTCAAATCGACTTCTTGTTTGTTTCGGTAAAATATGCGATTTTCCAATCGAGACATTGCAAAATATGAAATATATCATGGACAATGTAGCAATCGCAGCAAAAGCCAAAGAAGAAGGAGATAAAAAAAGTCGATAGTCACGTTTAAATATATCACGTCTTAATAATTCTCAATATTTTTGCATTTGTAGCCCGGGATCGTTCAACCGTAGAATAATTCTGTCGTGGTGGTGGACGTGATTTCATGCGAACGATTTGTAAACGCTTTCAGCGTGACCACTGCAATTATGATTAAAAAAAGTATATATATGAGCAAATACAGAAAAAACCATCCAGTTTTGTATCGAATTTGCACAAAAAAATAATAATAATGTGATTTGAAACGTGCTGCACCGCTTGAAATAAGCGCGCAAATGTCATATTCTTTCCAAAACGATCGAATCGGAACGGACATTTCGATGTTCGAATTTTTTTTTTAAACAAGCAAAACATGTCCAAAAACTTATTGTTTTCGCTTTGTCTTTGGCCCCTCCTCGACTTTTCACAACACAATTCGATATGTTCTTTTGTTCTTTTGTTTGCGATGCAATTTGATTTCGCATTAGAAAAAACACATATACACATTTCGGGTGAAAAGAAGCAAAAGAGCGAGTGAATAAAAACTCACGAACTTTAAATGACACGAATGACCGACACACACCGTATGAATACAATCCGAATTTCATGTAATCCAATGGTGATTACGCAAGTGAACATGATGCCGATTACCAGTAGATAGAGTACGTGTTATAGAGCCTCTCCCTCTCTCGCTCTCTTGGAATTTGTTGTGGCTGACATGAACTAAACGATATTTTGTACACACATCGAGATCGGTTATACTTTTTTTTTCGCTCGTTTCGTTCATATTTAGCTTTATCTTTGGGCGTTTTAGCTTCAGCTGTTCACTAGCTGACTGACCGACCCGATCGCTTCGATTGCATTGCACGGACGTATTCTATTGAATCGCACATACAAATCTATACAATACCGCAAATGGGTCCAGCTGTGTGGTAAAATTAAAGCGACATTTAAACAGCCCAGAATTGCACACCGCATGTAACTCAATTTCAACTTGGCACCAACTAGTAAAATAATGGATTTTTGTGTTATTTAGAAATCGCACAATTTATACAATGGTTGGTGCTGCTGCTGCTGCTGCTGTTTTGTTGCTTATGCAAAGGAAATCAAAATCACCAAGAAATTTATTATTTGCTAAAGCAAATACAGTGTTTCAAATTTGTACGATTTGAAAATGCCAAATGTTAATCGGAAACAACACCTCAATGGCAACAGTAAAATTACGAATAAAAAACAAGAGATGACGATGACGACGACGACGCCATAACAAATTGCCGGACTGCAATTGGTAACGAGTAGCGAAAAGTGTTGATTGGAAAATAAAAACAGAAATTGGTCCGAGTGTTGAAATGTTTGCACGAGCTCAATACCAGCACATGAATTATATCTATATAGATAACTTTAAGGGCAACACTCACATAATTTTTAAGACCACTTTGTGTTAATGTCTTTCATCTCATCTTTGCCTCGTTTTTTTTCACTGCCGTTCCCCCATTGTGCACAAAGTTTAAAGTGCACAAAACAGAGTTAATTACATTTTCAAAAAGTTGGTAAAATGCAAATTGAGGAGAAAGTTTTTGTGATTTTGATTACTCATCGTAATTGCTTCAATTTTGCAAAGCTATACAAAACGAGCATTGAACAAAAGTTGAACTATTTTCAACACTTATTCACAAACATATTTAATTGTCGGCATTCGACCTCCGATTTTAAGCGTGAAAAACAACAACAAATTGTAAATGTGAAATTACATTCGTGGCATTTTCAAGTGAATCATTAAAATTATTCTAATTTGCAAGTAATTGATCGCGATTTTACGAATGCAATGATTTTATGGAGATTCTCCGCATTTTTTTTTGCTTCTCACAATTCAATTCGAAAATTTATAGAGAACTGACTCAAACAAAGCCATAGCTCATGACAAATCCATTTAGTGCTTGTTTTGTTTCTAGCTTCACTCGAAATGAATCTCAGGCTTAAGTCAATTAAGTCAAGCTTAAGGCATTCCCAACGAAATTAATGGGGAAAAAATGTGAAAAATCAATGATAGCATTCAAATGGAAACATAAAAAAAAAGAATCGCATTGCAATTGATTTGCCAGAGAGTATCGTAATTATCGCTCATTAGGGAATATCGCTCCGATATCCCAAGGAATTGAAAATGAATGCTGAATGAAATGAAATGAATGAGAGGATAGAAAGAAGAGAGAGAGAAAAATATCAATTTAAAATGATGATAATATTACGCATAGCTTGTCAAAGCGCACACGAAAATCGGTTCGGTTTATTGTCGACACGACAATAGATATTGGCTTCTTGCAATTTAAGGGAATCACACTCAATGCAATAATAATCACATTTAATAGAAGATATTATTTAACATGAATGCGAAGTGAATGACAAGAGACATAGCGAAGAGAGAAAATAAGCCTTATGAAATAGCAAATTTAATGAGCTTAATAATAGCCTTTATATATGCTAGTGCGAAACATAACAGAAATATGCACACTAAAATATAGCAAAATGGTTTCATTCATGGAAATAAATGAAGACTCTTTCTTTTGCATCTCTCGCAACGGAGACAATAAAAATATTAATCGACTATGGCTCACACACGGAATCGTGCATGAACTTAATTATATTTGAAACGCGCATATGTTCAAATATGCAACAAAACAAAACAAAAAAAAAAAAACGATGGAAAAAAACGATACAATGGCGATATAAATGTGTGCAACATACTAAATAAAGTGAAAACAATGGCTGTTGTGAAATTAACAGTACACCGAGTGAAACAATAATATCAACAACTGCAATAAAATCATAATGATTGTGTTTATCAACGTTCATCTTTCGTGTGCCATGTAATTATAAATGAGTTCTAATGTTATTTTGTATGGTTCCGGTGCGCAATGGAAAGTCGCCTTTTTTTCTCTTCTCGGCACACACACAAAAAAGCAGTGTTGGCTTGCTAAAATTGGTGATGTCACACGTGAAAAAAAAGGTGATAGAGGTGACGATCAAAGGGATTTGCAGCAAGATGACGAAAAACAAATGACGAGAGATAACAAACCGAGAATATGGTCAAACAAATAGAGAAAATTCAATAAATAAACACACGCAAAATGCACGAAAGTGCGAGAGAAAAAAAAAGAAGCGAGAAGGCAAAGCCACTTACATGTTTTTCCGGTTTTGGAATTTTATTATTGTCTTTCGTTGTTGTTGCAGCCGTGTTGATGATCGCGGTTTGATTCTTGTTTAGATTGTTGGTTGGCGTTGATGCGAACGCTGTTGGTGCGGTCGGTGAGGTTGGCGATGTTGACGGTGTTGTTTTTCGCAATACCACATTAATGATTGTACTTCGTTTGTGAGGCGATTTCGGTGGTTCGGCAGCGGTGACATTGGATGTCGGATTTGATGTTGTGATCGAATTACCCAAACTAGCCGTATATCGTTGATTCGACAATATCAATGTGTCCAAATCCTTGAGTATTGAATCGGCCCATTCGTTGGTTTTTCGAATGTTTGACCCATGATTCGGACTGAGCGGCGCATTCAAACTGTTCACATTTCTAATGATTTTTGCATTTAAACGGCAATGGGCCTCTCGCAAACTGTCATGTTTTAAGGCAGCATCAATGCCATTAGAACGATAATCAATGCTATTCGCTGCTTTATTTCTAATGATATCATTCGAATCATGAAGACTTGACGGCGATGCAGCTGCTCCGCTTAATTTCCGCTGCTCAAGAACTTCGTTTATTTCACGCTGTAAATAGAGATAAAGAAAAGAGAAAAAAGATGGGCAATTAGTATGTTATTTGTTTCGTTTTTTTTTTTTAATTTGCAACGTTAATGAAATAAACTTAAAATCAACATAAAAGTACTCATACGACCAAATCCTTCATGTGTCTATAGAAAATTTAGAAGACGCGACGCAATTTCTGTTTCACGTACACTTATTACACCAAGTCTGTGTATAATCCAAGATGGATTACATTGAAGGTAAATAAATGTACGCGATCTTGATCTGATTTTTCAATATTTATGAATCGCTTCGGGGCATTCACTCAAACAACCGTATGGAAAAGTTGACTTGAATTGAAATTAAAATTTATGTGTTTTTCTGCTTTTTGTTTCAAAACAACATCTTGAGATGTGATGTATACAAAACGACAGACGATATGTTTTACTAGACTTTTGTCCGCCACAATCAATTCATTCACGTTACACACGCGAATCTTGAAATTACGCAATAAAAAATAAAATAAACGATCAGTGGCTGGGATGAATTTTATTGGTCCACCTATAAATTATGAAGCAAATTTTATAGCTTCCAGCACACTGACGTTTCCAGCTACCAATTTTGTTTTTAATATTGTAAAAGCAATTAGATTGAATCACACGTAAAAATGTATTGAAGCTGCTGCTGCTGTTTTTGTTGTTGTCATCGTCGTGGTGAATGTAAATGTGGATGGTAGTGATTTAATGTGCGCCATGTAAAAACCATAATGTTGAACTCTATGATCAACTCGATCCAGAATGCGAGAGAAAAAAGTGCTCACGACTCGGTTTTAAGGTAGGTGAACCAGAATTTAATTGAACATATCTCATGTTAGTACTATGGCGCATGCACACATTTTACTTCATGCGACCAAAAGATGTTTGAGTGGGCCGATCGAGTGGCTAAATGGTATTTCTTATGTCACCATACTTCATGCTTATTACTTCTTTCATTCTATTTGTCTATTTATGCTCTTTTCGGTGACTGTCTTTTTTTATGATGAATCGTTGCATTCGCTGCGACCGTTCTGATACACAATTTCTAATTCGATGGAAAATTTGTTGCCGGAATTGAGAAGGGGCAGACCATAACCAAATCACAAGTCCACCAAAGATTACTGTCTCTGGAGAAATTATTGAATTCGAATCGCCTGAAGCAATTTTAATATTAGTCCAATATTTCAAAGACCTTCAAATGACTTACGTCATCTTGTCGCACAAAATACGTGCTTTTTCAATTCAACTCAGTTGCGATTTCATTCCTTTCAATTACAAATAAAACGGAAATCCATCATGTATATTTTTTTAAATGTGAAATTCTATCGCAAAAAGGCGGACTATTCATAGAAAAAACAAATTCCATCAGATTCATTTCGTATTACATTCAACAAACGTGCTCAACATATTCTTTTTCTCAGTTGACACACCAATTTTATGTGCGAGTGATTTGATACCATTGCATATAATTGTGTATTGTTTTGTGAAATTGAAATGTGTCATTTGTTGTGCGAGAGTGAGTGAGTGAATGAAAAAGCATCTCGGTGTAGAAATATAGAGAAAAATGATCCAAATCGATTGAAGTCCCCAAAGGATTTAAAATAAAAATACAAAAAATGGAATTTTTTCGTCAGTCATCAAAAAGGTATAAAAGCCAAATGTGATGGTATTATTGTTCTTAGTGCACTGTTGAGAATGAAACGGCGTTGTTCGAATAATTCACAGAGAAAATTCAAAATTATAAGCGAATATGACCACCCAAGTGACAATTTGAGTGTGTGAGAACATTGTGCGATTTCATTGGCGATTGGTGACTTTAACGTTGCTTTTTGTTGTTGTAACATTTCGAACTGTTGAAGTAGTGCGGTGTTTTTTTGGTTTTTGTTCATTTTTCTTCCGATCAAGGCCATCACAAATTGAATAATGCAGGCGTGCCAATCAGTCATAATATTGTTGGTGTTTTTATTTCAATCGGTTCGTGCCCATCAAAATGCCGCATTTGACAAAAATTACAGTGATCGATTAACGGGGAATAATAATCAGCAATCAACCCTCGAGGTAAAAAAAAGTCATGCATGCAATTGCTTCATCTGTTCTTTCGAATCGATTTATACAAATGATCGATATAGCGAACGCCTCACAAAACATCAATATGTAAATGTGCGCTTTTGTGCAGAGTTTTTTTTTCTTGTTTGCCATAGATTAGTTGCCTTCTGAAAAACGTTATCATTAAATCAAGAGATCAAACAATCGCATTCTTTTCTCTTCTCATTTTTTTTTGTGTACAACATTAAACCGACACTCTCGCTCACAACACGCACCAACCATATTACTCGTACGATTTAAAACGATATAATTTGTAGCTTGCAGCGAACAAACATTATGAGACTAGCAGGTTTCGTCGAAGCAATGACGGCGGCAGTGGCAGCCACATCAACAGCGATGGAAGCACAGAAACTGGACCAATTTTGAATAGTGGTACAATTACTATGCCTGAGGACAATGACAACGATGCCAAGAAACCAATAAATTTTCTACGGCTTTATTTCTGCGGTCCTGCATATCAAAATTGCATGTATGACGAGAGGTAAAACAATACGGAAGACGATGAAAATATTTGCTTCTTTTTTTCGATGGTTTTTTTGTGTTTCACTAAATTCATGAGAGCATGTTTTTATGTAACACATATGGACTTTTATGTAAGAACGTGTGAAGAATGGTGATTCTGATTGTATTACGACGCGGGAGGCAAAACGTAAATTTTGCATTGCACAAGCAACACACACACACACACACACACCCATTTAATCATTGAACATAATAATAATAATCAAAATGTAAATGACCACAGCAATGATCATTAGATTGAATAGGGAAAACGTAATTTCCATAACTAAAAACTGACAGCTCCCTGTTATAAATTAATCAATTGGCATTGTTTGCAGCTTGTTTGTTTTCATATTTATTTCAAGTCATGTAAAGACATTTATGAAAAAGAGTTATGCAGTTCGTTTAAAATGCGTAATTTAGTTGCGTTCAAACAATCTAAATACATTGACCGACCGTTCGCGTACCAAGTACATGAAACGTTCGCTGAAAAGTGTCTCTCGTTTCCTGCCTGTACGGCTTTTTCTAACGCACAATGAGTAATTGAACAACTTATGTGTCATTGTTATTTCTTTTAAAAGACACGCATTTAAATAGAAATGTTGATTGCTTCCAGAATAATTGAAAATATGATGACGATGAACATTTTGGTTCACATGTGAAAGATACTTTCAGCCGCATACTCATATACATAATATTCATCTATTGAATGTTTTTTATGAATACAGAGACAACATGAATGACAAATATGCGCTCATTTTGTGGCGCATTTAATCGAAAGTAATAATGGCCAATAAGCGAAGCATATTAATCATTTCATTTGTTTCGCATTGAACTCTCAATACTGTGTTTACGCAGAAGAGAGGAAGAATTATCATCAATTTCGTTTTTTGTGTGTCGGCACATTGAGAAACTTTCGAAATATTCAAAAGAAATGACAATTTGTTTTGAAAAATGAATTAAACACTGAACGAAAACAAAACAAAGCGACAACGACGACGATGATGAAAAAACAACAACCGTTTTCAAAAAGTGATTCGTGCTGCGTTTTATGACTTGTTTGTTTTCATGACGTTTTATTGATGGCATCTTCAATTATTCGACGCGTACAGTGCTGGCAAAAGAAACGTTTCTCCGCGGGCTCATGGTTGGAAAGTCTTATGAAAAATTATTAAATGAATCAATTTATTGGGTGTATGAATCAGCTCCCGTGTTCTCAATTGATCGAAATGTCTTTTTACATTGAAAACCGTTTTGAACAGCGCGCGTACACTACTTCACTCGGTCTCCTTCGCATGAATCAATGCAATGCGATTGGCCTGACTGAATGCAATAATATCTCTTCAACTCGGGCGCACGCTCTTGATAATGACTCGTCGTTTATATTCCGTCAATTTTTCTTTCAATTAACTTGTGATCTGTTTATAGAGCATTTCAGTATGTCTTCATGCATCTAGGTTTTTCACTCGACACTTCAATTAATAAATGATACTTGTGCAAACCCTTGCAATATTCGATTGAACCAGAGGAAGGCAATATTCGATTGATAGACATACACACATTCTCCTTCTCGCTCTCGCTCTATCCGCAAAATGGAGAATAGACGAAAAAAAAAACATGAGAGGCTGCATGTGGTGTGTTTATTTCGCAGCTGTGTATGCAGTTTTTTTTTGTTGTTCATGTCGATCTTCCACTTGGCGAGTGATTGATCACAAATATGACGTCGACGATATAATTAAATGTTGACTTGCAATTTGGTGTAAAAATTGGAACAAAACTGAGTGATGGTGATGGAAAACAAAGGCCAACACATATCTTGAACTTAATCAGCGGGATGCAATTCGAATGCACACAAGCACCAATTGAAAGTCCAAGACGAACAAAAAAAAAAAAAAACAATAAAAATTTGCTACTTTTAAGTCCAACAATTGAGTCTCGAAACTCATTTGCATCGAACGCAAAAAAGCCACAAGTCTTCTTGTGCCTGTGCTAATCATTTGTGTAAAAATATCAATCACTTTTCGCAATGACTAATGGCTTTTTGTCGAGTGATTTTGATGAATAGCGGCAGTCGTGCAAAGGTTAAACTTGATTGAATACAATAATAATAAATGCTTTTTTCTTGTTTTCGTTTGAAATGCGAAAAAGAAATCGATTGTCATGTCCCGTTAATGTTAATCGAACATTTGATTATTTTGGCCATAGTGAATGGTTGTCGATGTTTTACGTGCTGTTTTTGGAATCAATTCGTTTTCTTTCTTTCTCTCTCTCTCTCAACAGATTGAACAACATTCAAGTGCAGAATGATTTTCTCAAACAAATCCCGCGCATGGCTGAAATAACACTACCAACTAATTACTTAGATTGGAAATCGAAGCAGCTCAGTTTGCCACTCAACATAAGAGGTGCACAAATTACAAAACCGCCTGGACGTCGTGATCGTGGAATCACAGCCGATGAACCTACACCACACTATGTCTTGGTTCGCAGCGATGACGCTAATCCACGCCATTTGGGTATAACATACAATTTTCTTTTCTTTCATTTTCTGTCTGATTTTTATCGACCCTCACGTAGTGTCCATAGACAACTATTTCGTGTGCATTTCTTATTGTTTTTTTCTTTATTCAACTTCGAAAATCGTTTTACAATTCCCGTGCAATTATAGTTTCGATTTACCAAAACGAAAAAAAAAGCAAATATAATATTGGTGTAGGTAATTTGACGTTGAAAGATAAATGTCAGTAGATTTGTTCTAGTTGTGACACAAAAAGCGCGCAAAACACATTCACATCGGCACATAAGAACAGTTATTAATCGTATGTATCTCTTTTCCCCTTCTATCTTCCCATCCATATTTGTATATTCGTTGTGGTCTATGTGATCTTGTACTTTTAATTTTGGAATGGGATTGTTTTATGCTTGTTCCTCATTTGTTTGCCAAACTTTTTTGTGTATTTGTATCACTTATTATCTTTTGTTGCTGGTATTTGTTTGCTCAATTGAAAAGCATTATTGTCAGGGTCTGATATAATGGATGATCCATTCATACCACAGCGCGGTAGACGGCAATCAAAAGCTCAAACTTATGACGATCCTTTTTATCCAATGCGCGGTCGACGTGCCGAAACACAAGCATGGGACGATCCATTCTTTCCGATGCGTGGCCGACGTGCGGATAAAAATGCAAACGCTTGGGATGATCCATTTGTGCCGATGCGTGGCAGACGGCGTCCAAAAGACGGTGGTAAACGTGCCAAATCTCAACCTTGGGACGATCCATTCATTCCGATGAGAGGCAGAAGATGGCCAACGAATAGCATCGCTTATGACGATCCATTTATTCCAATGCGAGGTCGCAAAGCAGAAGATTATGACGATGTATTCGTACCAATGCGAGGACGTCGCTCGATTAAACCAAAAGGTAATTTTTCTTCTTTTGATACTTTTTTTCCGTTTCTTTTATTCGCATTTTTCTCGTTTATTCGATTACTTTTTTATTTGCATTTATGTTGCGAAATTCGATTTATTTTATTTAAAAAAAAAACAAAAACAACAATCGAATCGAAGGTCAATCAATTAATATTCATTTAAATCTGCACGCAATTTTGTCGTTTGTTTCGATAACGAAAAAAAAAGCGCAACGACGGAAACGAAGCTTATTGGCATCAACCGGGACATTTAATGCGGTTTATACGCCATCCGAGGAGGTCATTGTCAAACTAAATGGCATTCAAGATAAAAACTTACATACATTGCCGCCAACAATGAATCGTATGCTCGATCGTTTGCAGCCAAATGGCAAATTGATTGAAGGCACCAAATCACATTCAGTGTTAAATGAAAAACATCAACAACATCAAAAGAAATCGCAATTCTTGCTCGACGACTTTGCTACAAATCCTGATGATGGCGATAACGGATTGATGAATGACTCGGCAATGGATTATTATTATTACGTGGAATCACCGCAAATAAACAAAAGCAAAATGAACGAGTACAAGCATGGCTGGATGAAATCATCAAGAGATTTGTCACAAAATCGTGATGCTGGTAATTTAGCACGTGGGAGCACAACATCCATCTTATTTTAATGCAAAAACAAGAAAAAGCGAGTGAATGAGAGCCACACACACACATAGACACACACACACAAGTATATATAAAACAATATGAAGAATCAACCGTAAACAAATCGTAAACCAAAATAAAATGCAAATTCACCTTAAAAAAAAAAGAAAAAAAAAAGCATAACAAAACGCTTCATTCTCACACACACGGAAAAGAAACGGAAAATAGCTTGAAAATGAGAGAAAAAGGGCAGTGACACAAGCACAAATAAAACAACAACAACAAAAAATTCAAAGAATAAAAGAAGCATAAAATAATAAAAAGAAAAACTTTACGCTCACAACAATGTCTAACGCTTTCGTAATCAAACATCATGGCAAAATGGGAGAGTGCACAGGAGGGAAAAACAGGAACGACATTGCATAAAGACACGTGCAATGCATAAACATGCACTGAACTAATGGTAATTAAAATCATTTCTATTTGAATTTTTTTTTTTCGTTTCGTTGTGTGTGTGTTTGCTTCTCTCAATTGCACATGAGTGAATTACTTGAATGCCTCTCTTGTCATTAGGAATTTATTCCGATCTTTTTTCGTCTTGTCCGCCCGTTTTTCCATTTGTTATTGCTTTCACACTGCATTTCGTGCTCAAGCGCGAACGATCTTAGTTTATGTTCACTTCACAAGAGACAAAGACGCAGAGAACAAGAGAGCGAACGAGCGATGATGATGGTTGGATTGCATGCGATTTGCTTTCACATTGTAGATTTTCTATCGACAATTTCAACTTAAAAACGAAAAATCGAATCGAATCAAAAGCCATGAATTTGAAATTAACAATGGAATTGCTTATTAGCAAAATTAGAATTTTCCGTGTTCTTCAGTCTGTTTTGCGTCGGTTGATTTTTTTTTTTTTTTTGAAAACGGAATGTGTCCGCGTGTACGCCATTCGATCGAGTAAAACACCAATAAACGTAAATAAAGGCGACGAAAGTAAGCATTCGATTAAAAAAGAACATTCAAATAAATTGGAGAACAAAAAATCTCTTCTACGAAGAGCCGAATGAGAACTTTGTCAGATGGGAAAAACAGAATATTCTTCCTATCTCGCTCTTCTTTTCTCTTTGTTCCAAAATGTAGATTGAGTGTGTGTGAGTCATCAAAAACAATCATGAGAATCGATAAAATCGCTGTTCATTTTTGCAACGAATGTCGAAAATTAAAACAGACAATGAATTCTGTTAAACGTCGAATGAATATGTGAAACAGATTTTTTGCATTTCGTTTTAATGGCGCAATCGAGTGAAATAGACAGACCGTACCGCACACTACCACCGCCGCCGCCACCATTGATTTGGCACTGATCGACGATGACAACGGCGTTCATTGTTTCTTTCTTTTAAATGTGAGACATTGCCACCCATTCGCTATTTCATACATGTGTGTGTGTGCGCCTCGAAAAGTCAAAGTTTATCTAAGAATTTGCGATGAGAAATCGCTGATTGTTTCGATTTCTCTCGATGATCATTTTACTTCTTAAAATGAAAGAGAAGAAAAAAAATTGTCGAATAATTGACTAGTGATTTACATGACAATTTCAATATGACTAGCACAACGCACATATCCACTGTTTCAATCTCGGTACAACAAAATTGAGAGCAGCCGAGCTTATAGAGAATATATATAAATGAGTGTTGTTGCTGCTAACAATTGTTTCAAACACATTGAATGGGTAATTAATGTCCAATTTACAGTATAATATTGTGAGCGTGTCTCCATACAATAAATAGCGTTTTAAGATCGTCAATGAGATCATTGACTATCCCAGATATACAATATTTCTTTTCTATTCATTGGCAGAGCTTAATTGCCATTTTCTAAATTATTTAAATGCACATTTTCAATAAATTGTGACTGACTACCGTTTTATTTACCGAGCACTACGGTATGCGAACGATCTTGGCTTTGGAATTGCTTCATTTCACCATACACACACACACACATCTATTTCTTTTTCGATTCGAATTTCAATCAGTTCGATTTCCGAATGAATATAGTAAACGGTGAGAAATAAAGGGGGCAACAATTTATATAAACTACACACGACAATGATCAGATCAATGAAATTGACGATGCATTGATTGCTGTTAATGGAAATTTTTACTGATTCATTAAATCGTATCGTATCGTGTCGAAGAGTCTCTACATCGAATTCACAAAACAATAAAAAGTCATGCAAAACAACAAAAACAAATATTGTTGGCTGGCGAAATGTGATATTACCGCACGTTACGGTCTAACAAAACTGTGAGATGCCTCCATCTCGCGCGTCTTCAATGCATCTATATAAATTCTTAACAAATTTCTCTCGCTCTCTTTCGCCGCATATTTTCTGTTGTTTGTGCAATCATGCGAATTTGAATATGATTGTCGTGGCAAAGAAATAGGTAGCAGCTGCGCGTGGCCACTTCACTCTACAGAATCGAAACGAGAGCGAGAAAGATGTTGTCGACCGCTTTGTTGTGCATTTAGTTCGGTCAGATTGCAATCATCGATTACAATTACAAGCCAGAGAGTCCAACGCGCAAAATAATACACACACACACACGCGCGCGGAGAGAGAGAATACCGTAGAAGAAATATGTTCCGCACATGGAATTGGATCTAATATGTGGAAAAGACGCAACACAACCGACCAAATGGAAAACACCTAAGTGATTATTGTGGTCGTTTGTTACAAGAATTTTTTTTGCCCGCTCTCTCTTTCTCTTTCTCTACATCTTGTCTAGCATTTTTCCATAAAAATTCCATATATCTATGCTACTGCGACAAAGACGTAAACGATTTTATAAGCCACCGAAATTGAAGGCAAATCGGTTGGGGAAATGTTATGTGTGTTTGAAAGACAAATACATTTCACTGCAGTATGCTGTTTTGGTAAGGCACTCTCAGCAGCTGTATTGCATGCAACATGATATTCTTGGTATTTTAAATTGGATTCAGGCCACCATGTATGATCTTGATCTCTCGACGATCATAGAAAATTTTATGGTTTATTTAAAATTAATAAATCTTTTCTCTCGCTCCCGCGATCAACGCATGTATGCCACATCGTTGTCGTTTTGCTATTATTTTTTTTCTTCTCCTCATTCTTCAGCTGCCGCTGCTGCTGCTACTGCTGTGCACCGCGAACACTATGAATTATGTATGTGACTGAAATATTGTAAAGAAAATATAAAAAAAATACACAAACTATCAGTAGCAATCGCAACCGCTGGCCTTTCAATGCATTAAATAACAAAATGCAGAATGAATCGGTGAATGAAGGTTCATAATGGCCACGATGGTTCTCTTACACCTTAAACATATCATCAGAGCCACAATTTCAATTATGGTTTTCCTTATGTGCAGAGACCGGAGGAAAAATTTAAATCACATTCTAATAGCCAGCTATTAACGACCAATCAGATATAACTCTTGAAAAATGATTTTCCTAGATTTTCGTTTCATAACCATGTCCACACACGCATTACAGGCCGACTCCAAACAAAATTCATTAAACGATGGAGCCCCTCGATATTGATAAACGAAACTCATTATGAATATCAACGTTTTGGGCATTTTAAATTGATCATTTTACATACAATTTATTGATGTTTAACATTTTTGTGCGTACTTTTACGTTACATGTATGTGTGTGGCTTTTGTCACAAATCGATAACTGTGGTGCATGTTTACAGTTATTTTATACACTTTTTTTTGAAAAAATAAGTAGCCAATGTAATGAAAACAAAAATCTCTTTCTTTCTCATTTCTTTTATTTTGATTTCTGACACAGACAAAAACAAATATCCATGAAGCACGCACGATGCGCAAACCACAATACCCGCGGACGAATAAACAAACGAAAAATTCCATCAATTACATAAATTATTTATGAATCGATAAAATTGTTGTTTTATATAGTTTTTTTTGAAAGATTTCTTTTTTTTTGTTTTTCAATTTTAAATGCACCAAATCACGACAACGACGAAAACGAATTGGTTTTTTTCAATCGCGAACCAAATAAAAAAGAGGCATACACGAGAAAATGGCTGGAGAAAAAGAACGGAATTTTAATCAACGCGTTGAATATGACCCCAAATGCAAATCGAATATGGACTACGAATATCATTTGATTCATTGGAAACCAAAAAAAAAACACAAACAATTTATTGTATTATAGTATAACAATAAAAAAACAGACAAAACTTAATAAAGTGAATTCTCATAAAAAAATTGTTGAAAACAAACACAAAAAGGAAGAAAGGAGGGAGAGAGAGGAGGAAAAAATGACAAACAATGTGTTGTTGGTGCATAAGTTTGATTATATTTTGGTTTGGGGCTTGTGATTTGTTGGCATAAATTTGAAATGTCAATTAAAGAGCGGACGGCCGTGTACTTCATATGCATATTTTATAATACAATGCGAAATGACGTTGCATTTCGTCAACACATCGAACCGGAATCGATTTTCACGCTGTCGCTGTCCGTTTATATATACATGGCTGCTGTTTTGGGTTCGGTCAACTGTGCAAAAAGCCTTCACATATTGATTAGCCACTTCGGTGCTGTGTCTGTCCACTGACCACAAATAAACGAATAATATGCAAATGATATTCATTAAAATGGGCTTTGCGAAAAAATATTCGAAAAATGCAAATTCCTAGCTTTTTTTCTCTGTCGACCCACAGTTGAGTATTCAATAAAAAAGAGGGTTTTGCATACGCAGATTGATATTTTCTAATTTTGTTTGGCCACCATCGTAAAATTGTCAATTGATGAGTAATTTAACAGCAAACAGTTTATTGATTTTAAACGATCATAAAAATTCGTTTAATTTGGAAGTAACTATAAAGTGACGTCAGTGGTAGTGTTGTGATTCACAATGACATCAATGTTTAACAAGCATATTGCGTCGTTAGCGAGCCTACTGCAGCTACTGCTGTTCAAATCTCTTCTTAATTAATTCTTTATCTTTGTTTTTTTTTTTTAATTTTTTCGCGTCGCACTGCAAACGCATAACGGTTTATTACTGAATTGACACAGCGTTGTGCTTTTTTCTCCCCATTTATGTAAACCGAAAAAATATTAGCCTCTTATCAGAATCGTTAATCAGTGTGCGAAAGTTAAAAGAGTGTATCCAACACACAGACACACGGTCATAATTTTACTAATTAACGCGCATAAACCCCATTGGACACGGCGACCGCAACCTAATCTTTGATTCATTCAAAAAACAATTTCACATAGTCAACACTTTCAAGTCACAACGATACAAGTCAGAAAACAGGTAAATTGTCACATAAAAATTACCGTTTCACACTCTCTAAATGCATATAGTGCTTACCGCATTTGAAAGAAGAAGAAAAAAATGTGTATCTTTGCTGATGGGATATAATTAAGTGCATACACACCGGTAAG